ATACCAAAAGAACAATCACAAAGAATGATATATAATTGAAATTCATTATTGAAATTCGAGAAAAACATTTCTACATCTTATCCGACTCTTCGCTTTACAGTTTCTTTTGCCACAAAGAAGAAAAAATTCTTGTTAGACTAGCTCAAATGAAATATTCAAATCTGAGATGTTTTTTTCAGTGATGGAAATATTTCTATTCAATTTAATAATTATATGTATTCTCAGAGACTATGAAATATTTATTCAATTTAATAATTATATGGCATTTTCAGTAACTAAGATATTTTTATCTAATATTATATCACATAATTATATCACACTTTTAATGTCTGACATATTTTTATTCTATAAATTATATATAACACAATTAATACATTTTATCCATTAATCTACACTTGCGTAACTTATCTCGTGTATTATTATAACTATCATGTTTTATTGTTATTCAGAAGAATTGAACTTATTTTTTAATGGATGATCAAAATACATTTTCAATAATTGCATTCACTATTTCCGTCGAATATTTGATATTAAAGATAGTATTTTGATGATTCAAGAAAATTGGGGTTCATGGACATAAATTGCAATGACGCTTGCCTTAATTTGTTATTGCGGAGACACATTTGATTCACTTAATCATAACACAATCGATCATCTGTCCGTGATGGAAACAAAAAGAAGTTCGACTCGTTCCTCGAAATGAATTGTACACGAGATAAACGAAGCTTCCGGCGTGGTAAGAAAAAAATAAAGAAAGGAAAAAAAGAAAGACGGAATAATGGGCGCGATTGTCTCGTAGTATTAATGAAAACAAGTAGCTGAGAAAATTATTGATAACGGAGAACGTTTTAGTAACGTAGGCTAAGAATGAGTAAGAATGACGGTATGAATTTCATAATTAACGATTAATTATAGTAAACAAGTGTACTAAATAGTGCTAGCGCTATGAAAATTGAGGAAAACTAATGTGCAGAGAAAAGTAAAAGTAAACGTTGAAAATTATCGAAGTATTGATTACCATCGTTAGATACCAATACTATGTATAGCGTTTGTTAAATATGTACCTATGAATTATCGATGACCGTCGTTCTAAGACTACATGATGTAAGGACGAGATTCTTGTTGCTTGGTTTTGTAATCATGCTTGACGAAAGCATTCGAAGAATAAAACTTGTTGTCGTAGAAACCTTCTTCTGTTATTTTACACTGTTATCGATATACATTTTTACAGCAATTATCTCTGAATTTATTTTACGCTATAATTTTTTTATTTGCTTTGTATTTACTGGCTATTTATTGGCTATTAACGTTATTAATAATAAATGAAAAGTAATGAATAATGATTGATATTTAACGTTATATACTGAAAAATAAAATTAAAAATTTAATATCACGGTACTGAGATTTAATATTATGTTACTCAAAATTAAATTTGGAGTTTTGTAGTTCTGGAGTTTTGGTGTTTGTTAGAATATTCAAAATAAACTTAAAGATTTAATGTTACATTACTTAAAAATAAAAGGTGAGATATTTAATATTGTAGTACTAAAAAATAAATTTTTATCCTTATTGGGAATTTTATTATCACGGTTTCTTTCCACCTGACATAACTACCTGATTAAGTTACATAGATACGTATGATTCGAATACACATTTCTTAAGAATTATAATCGAGACGACTAAAACTTAATAATTTTGAGATAGAGTTGCGCTTGCGTTATTTTCAGCTTGTATCGTTCAAGATTAATTTATTATTCACGCTTTTAGAAAATGCATACATTATTAACGTTCTAGCTCCCAACGCAATAACGATTGACGTGACATAAACCACTATGACAGGACGGCCAATGATCTCCGCAAATGCACGACCCCCTCAGGTGCAGCGTCCCTGCGGGCCACTTCACGGGTAAATATTACCTCCTCTAAACGAGTGTTGTTTTAGCTTCATAAACGGCGGTTCACAGTTTAAAATTCTGTATTTTATTCGCTGGCCGTTTCGTTCAATCAAAAATACATTGTTATGTACCGACTGAGCCACGGGAGTCTGTGCAAACTTTGTCTGTTTGTTCCACACGCAAAAATGGAATGGAAATGTCATGCGATGAAAAATCCTTAAGCAGAGAACCCGGTTTATGACGCTAATAATAAAACCATTCTCTTTTAATAAACTATGAAGCGTTTTTTTCTTTTAAGCATATAGAATAATTTATTTTTAGATCGACGAATATTTACTAATTATTTATTTTTTATTAATATGTGAATTATGATATTAATAATTAGGTAACTTGGTTTTAATAGTAATAGTTCATTTTTAATTGGAAAAATATGCACTAATTAATTCGTTAAAATTTATGTGATTTGTGACAGTAATAATAAGGCGATTTTCTCACAACGAACGATGAAGCGGTTTTATTGTTTAATTAAAATATTTATTTTACATTTACACATATGTTAATTTATGAGCAACATGACATACACTAAAAGGAAAATGAACAAAATAGTGATAGAACTTTTAACAATGTATTTATTACAAAAATATTTTCGAGTATTCAAGCTGACAGTTTGTTTGCGTAATGACTGACAAAGAGCATAGTAAGTATTTTCATGTTCTGTAACGTTACAGTGGCCGCCTCATAAGTACAACAAAATAAAATACACAACATTATTAAATAATAAATGAACATTTTCTGAGATTCTCTAGTCATTACAGTAATGCAAGTGTTACTCGTAGTTATTTTGTTGTATTTAGAATTACTGAATACTAATTATCAACTTAAGTACTGTTAAGCAACTATAAATAAGTTAATTAGTTGATATCGATTAAAGGTATGTTTTTATTATCTTACGTAGTTTTATCAATGCAGGAATGCAGTTTTCCCACTTTTATAAACAATAATTTCATGAAAAATTTTTACTGTGCAAACAAGAGTGAAGAATGCTAAATTTTTTATGACAATTCACAAACTAATCTTATTCCTTTAACAATTCTCGACAAATGGAAAGAAAACTAGACGCGTAATTTTTCGATGTGAAATCTCTAATTGTTTTGTTCTTATACCGATGAAGTCGAAGTCTTATTGGCTTCGTCTGTTTTCATCAACTTCTCAATTTCCGGTAATGAGTTCTGCAACCACGATATTATGAAATTTCCATTCGCTTCGACGAGAGCTGCTGCGTACCTAGTTCCTTTCATGCTTTCATAATTATTCTCCCTGAATGCTTGTAGCTATAATAAAATAATCGTTATTTAATTACTAAAACATTGAAATAGCGGATACGTATAATAAAGTTGGTTACAAAGCTATTTTGTCTTATATTTTTCAAATTTATTTTTCATTAATTTTTATTTCGGATAAATATTAATTATAA